GGTGAACATAAGCAAAGAATTATTATCAACGTGGCTATTGATGGATTAAGATTGCGTGATGAAAAAACTGGGGTAATTATAGAATGTACAAAACCCAACTTATTTAATTATATTTTTTGTTGAAATATTGCTTTAGGATTCATTATATCATCACCCTGTCCATAAAATTTCATTCATTGCCCAAGACATGACAGATTCCAGAGCCTTTGGTTACATATTTGGTTCACCAGATACAGGTCATCGATTTTTTGGCATTAAAACAGATAAAGCAGCAAGTCAGGTATAAGTAGCATTGGATATGTTAATGATAATAACTAGCATGGCGTTTTTAGGTCGTTATAGCAATGAGAGATCTGTTTCAAGTTGTATTTGCATTAAAGAAAAAAGAAATTGAACTAGCCAAACAAAATCTTGAAAAAAATTATGGTTTTAACAGAGATAATTCCAATGTAATACCTGAAAGTGTAGCTTCAGATAGTAGGGTAAGGATAATGCAATTTTATTAAATATTAATCAGTAAATATTTTGTTTAACAAGTTTTAAATAACATTTTTTAGGATATCAGTTGCAGTAGTACCGTTAAAAATTCGTCAGCATTAAAATCTCATAGCACAGAAAACAAGTCAAGTACCCCAGTTGTCGCAAATTTAGTAGACTTGGAAATCGAACTAACAAACTTGCAACAAGGTATTTCACAAATTGAACGACTTACACCCTCCAACGATCCATTTGAAGATAGTTTTATAAGCTACACTGTAAGTTAAACTAAAGCATTGCCAATTTATTTGCTTAGATCAGTAGTATACATACATTGTATTATAAAACAACAATATACATTAAAAGTTGATAATAATTAGCAATACAGAAAGTCTTATACAAACGTGAGAATACTCTGTACCCGCAGAGAATTTATTTATTTACTACATAATACAATATAAGTATACTGTATCCTGCTACACATTCAAGGAATATCAAGATACCTGTGTGCAGGTCTGATGATAGAAAAAAGAATATATATATTCATATGTTAATACACACTATATAATTTTTTTTTTAATTTTCATGTTACGCAGTAAATAATAATTATCTTCTGGGCTTGTGGACCGCTGTCTAAAGACTAATTGATCGACAAGCCCAGAATAAAATTATCATTTAGTTCGTAACACCGGCCGTGAGAACTTACAAAATTTCTTTCTTGTATTTATTTTCATGTATTTATGTATTAGCCGAAACCTTTTTTGCCTCCCCCTCCTGGAAGGGAACGATCATACAGAGCAGCAGATGCAACTGGAAATTCTAGTTCAAAAGCTCAAACAATGACGATCAATAAAGGATCTCCTTCTCAAATGTTATCCCTTCTCCAATCATCCGACGAATTAACACTGATTAAGTCTCATAACGAATCACACGTTGAGACAGTTGCTGAGGATTGGTTTATTTCTTCTGTTACTGGCACAGCAACAACAAAGGATTCTTTGACACAATCTCCTTTACAAAAAGATTTATCAACCACATTACAAAGTGAAAGGCAAGAAAAACAAGATGTATTGAAGCAGTTTGACGTATTCACCGAATTGGATCCTTTGGGTAAGAGTTTAATCGGTTAGTTTTTTTTTTTATTTTCTGCAATGATAATATCAAAACTTTATGTTTGCCTTCGTTTTTATTTCCGTTTTCTAGGAACTGGCAAGATAAAACCCTACATACATAAACGAGACTTCTTTCAAGACCTAAAAAAACCAAAAAAGGTCTTAAACGATCTTGTGAACGACAAACAAACGTATAGTAATAATATCAGTAGTTGTTCTACGAATGTAAATGAAAGCTTTAAGTCGGAATGTATGGGATTTGCCACAGATCCGTTTGGCGAAGATCCGTTCGTTAAAAGCAATTCTTTCGCTGAAAAGGACCCGTTCAGCAAAAATAATTTTAATGTAGACTTTGCTGTTTTCAAAAAAGAACAAGGGGCTAGTGATTTAGTAGACGATATGGTGACTTTGGCATTTTCCAATTTAAATGAAGGTAATTTTATATTTTATTTCAGGCCAAGAGGAGATCGTAAATTTTTGCTGTTTTTGAATAATTAGAAGTTCTAGTAATGTAATCATGTTTGTTAGATTGCACTTTATTTTAGATTCGTTTGTGGATACTCATCATTTGGAAGGTAATATAGAAAAGGATATAAAACTATCATCCGAGTTTGATTCAGAAGATTACAAGAAAATGTCTCCAGATAGTGACAACGCACCCAAACCACCCCCTCGACCTACTAATAACATATTAACACAACCGCCGCCCTTACCACCTAAGAAACAACCGGGCGATTTGTGTATAAAGCCTCCGCCGCGTCCGCCTCATTCGGATGATTCCCATTACGACGTAATATCAAAGGAAGCGCGAAATGATACTGCTTTTAGTGAAAAGGGACCACCGTTGCCTTCCCCTGCCAGAAAAGCGAAATCGACTCAATTTTCATTTGAACAACAAAAAAAGACGCAACAAGTAGAGTCTAGTGAAGATGATTATTTAACTCCAATCTCATTTCCTTCAGCGAAGGACTTTTCGTATGCTGAAAAAAAATGTTTCTTGCATAAAAGTGCAGATGACGTTTCGACCAATATTCCATTTTTTGTTAGAGAAAGTTCGTCCATTGTTCGTAATAGCACTAACATGTCCTTGGCCGACATCAATTTTATGTTAAGTCAATTAACTTTAAGCGGCTTAAATGAATTGGCTACCGAACTGAACATTCCGTCAGTAAAATTGAGCAACATGACTTTGGCGCAAATAACAAACTATCTTAGTGGTGTAATCAAAAATCTCTCTCAAGATGACGATTCGAAACAGCAAGACAATTCAGACACATCCAAAGTCAATTTTGCAGACTTTAGTAATTTTAATACTAACGAGACCCATGACAAATATGCCGTTTTTCGTGAATTAGAAGCGACAGAATTTAAAGTTAACGTCGATAATAATATGTCGTCTGCTGAGAAAAACGGCACCGTGGCCTTTTTCTCACAAGATAGTATAGATGACAAATATGCTGCACTTCGCGAAATTACTGATGAAAATAATAAGAAATCGGAATACGAAGACCTCAAAAACGAACCCGATTTTATTTTTGAGGAATCGTTTGATCATTTGAGTCAAAAATCGGATCAGACGAGAAACGAAAGTGGCGGAAGATTTGTTGAAAAACAGTTGGACATGTCAGTGGAAAAACAACACATGATATCTCAGTCGTCTTCCGATGATAAGAGAGAATCCCCAAAACAATTTGAACGTATCGACGATGTGTTTGAAGAAGAGAAACTTCAAACTTTCGATTCGATTTCAGAAGGCGCCAGTGGCACTTCGCCTGAAAACGACGCTGCAACCGAAGCCATAAAACGAGTCAAAAGATCGGGTAATACAAGAAATTAATTATAATAATTTTAAAAGCCATAGAAAACAGTTTATAACCCATTTTTTACGTTGTAGATAAAGATTGGACCGTCTTCGATCAGACCAAACCACAAGTAGTTGAGAAATTATCATTACAAAGCGAAGAGGGGGTATCACCTTGGTCAAGCGATTCAAAAGAATTCGGGAACGCGTCTAAATAAAGTAATGTTTCGTGTATCATACTTTCCAAGATAAATTCTATTTAACTTATATAAAAGATAAATATAAATTTATTTGAATTTCACTGTCACAAGTGTCAGTGGCATTAACGGTACCACTTATATATTTATTTAACCTATGGTAGGTGTCGACCATGGGTGTGTTCCGAAATATAACCCAGCATACTAGCCAGTGCCGAATGAACGTCATGAATCGACGCAACATTGTACTGGTGAGAGAGACGTAGTAGTCTATCAAATGGGAATGTGTGCATCAGACTTTGAGGAATTTGTTATTATAAGAAACTATTAATTTTGCAGCAAAATTGTTGCAAACGACCACAAACACTATTCTCAATATGGCGTTAATTTGACGTCAACGCACTGGCAGAGAAGGCACTGGCAGAGGCACTGGCTAGTATATTTCGAAATAAATCAACAGTATGGCGTCGATTCATGACGTCATTAGCACTATTTCGGAACACACCTTATATATAACAGATATATAGGAGGTCACACAGACATATATTATTGGACGTGCCTTAGCCGTATGTCATTGTAATAATTTCTTGGATCGAAAAGTGAGGAAGATGGCGTATGGCTTCGGACTAGTGCTATCTCTTTTATGACACGCTTACGCATTATCGTGAGAGAGATGGATATTGTCCGAAACTTCGTTCCATCTCTTTCTTTTATTGTACCACAATTCTGACCGCTAAGGCATGTCCATTAGTAAACGTCGATGGAAGGTCAAATCTGCGGCTGTCAGTGATGGTCATAGATGTGAGAATAGAATCCATAAACAACAACCACTGACCACTTGTCATCTTCACTGATGATGACCTTCGAGCTGGCGAATGGACCACAACGCCGGGCGCTAAGTACATAATAATGATACGAGTGGAGTTACTGTATGTAGCGAGTCTTATTGGTTAAGATTTCCCGCGCGCGCCCATTTTAACACCTCACGCACACACGCGAATTATTTTTATATTATTATTGTTAATTAATAAATGTTTTTGTGGATATCGATGGTTTTAGTACTCCCGTTACACCTATCGTCCACAAATCCATAGTAATCGCAGTGCTCTCTACTATTTTATAAAACTTTCTAGTGTTTCACTATAGAGATATTCACATATCATAATATTGTCTATGGTATTAATATAATCCTATAAATAATGAAAGTTTCTTTTCTATGATGAAAGTTCGTGTGATGTTTGGCAAATAAATAATAAATAAAAATCTCTTTAAGGGGACTAGAGAGGCGATATAAAATGAAGTAAATAGCGAATTAAAAGGGAGCTAAAAGAAATGAATTTATTAGAAAAATGTCATCAGAGAATGGTATTTTATTATTATTTACAATA